AGTAGACTACCGACGCAGTAAACAAGTCAGCGCTCTCGGCAACACGCAGCTCAAGCAATGAGTGTTATGCCAACACACATGAGAGCATGAACTGGATTGAGGCAGGTTTTCCAGATAAGTTCACAATTTACCTATGTATGTCTTCTATGGCCAATGACAATGGGGGTGCTTTAATTTTAGTGGGCACCGTGTAATCCAATGTGAACGTATGTGCTAGAAAGCCGCACTGCCGGTAGACGAGTCTTAGTCGGTGTGGAGTTAGAGAAGGTGACCGAAATCATTAATGCGACAGCGAACTCTAGACGGTTTACGATGTGACTATCAGGCGCTGGTAGGTGACCGGCCGGAAGATTTATGACATGCCAGACGATAACGATACTCGTATTTTGGATCATTCGAATTCTATTGAATTCGCTTATGATGGTTCTTGGGTTACAGTCTATAGGGGCATATCTGGAAACGGTAAAAATACACCTTACCATAAATGCTGTTTATTTACTTCGACTGACCACTAGCGTCAGATGGCGCACATGCATATGTTCGTCTAGATCTATCATTCAAGAATGATTAAGCATAGGCCGTTGGTCAGGCATTACTGAAGATAATGAGTGTTTAGGCTCTGTTGTTAGAGCAAAAATGCGTTGAGAGGGTGTAAAATCAAAAGAAATGTAGCCGATTGACCGATCTGACATAAGTTGCACGAGTTAGTGGACAAATGCGGAGTAACATTAAATGCTTCGCTTGCATACGGCTCATATACCGCTTATCAGGAAATTACCCAACTTATTTATCTATTAAGATTTGATATAAGGTGTCACTTTTGCGCTAGTGCGGCTGAAGTGGGGGATCTTCGGAAAGGAACGGAAATGGAAGGGTGAAACACTAAGGATGGCATGCTCCGAGCGCCTATTCCGAGAAGGAGTTTCAGACAAGGGACCAAGCTCTAGTCTCCAAATCAAGTGTTAGACCCAATGGTAATTGTATGAACAGAGATATACTTGGAGAGATTCTACACAGAAAGTATAACCCAATATTCTAACCCAGGAGGCAATAAGGGAGCATGTTCACATCGGGAGTACAACAGCAGTTTCGTTGGAAACCACAGTAAGACCTAGTCCCAACTGTTTTGTGCCTGGGTCTCCCAGCCTCGTCAAGAGAAACAAAACACACCGGCTCTGAACACTAGCGTTCTATTGATAATTATGAAGCAAAAAGTACAACTAGCTGTATAGTTAATAACTCAGTCGCCCACTCGATAGACCGCCCTGAAGCAGGCGAGTCCCTCCGCCTCAGCTTTCAGCCATCATCACATCCCTTCCTTTTTCTGATTTTTCGCAGTTTTTGTGTTGTATTTACCATATCCTCGCCAAGTGCGGGTGAGCTTGCGCTTTACTCTATGGGGGAATTGAGGCTGCACTGAACTACTGCCGAATGCTGCAATGGGTAAAATAATACCATCGACCTTCATAGCATGCTACAAAACGCTCGAATATTTATAAAAGGTCCGGTTCATTGTCCCAGGCCTCCATTATCCGACTTGCTTCAGAGCCAGTGGAGTATCTGAACATTGCCAACTGGTATGGTCTTGGATATTCATCCAACTGGATCAACGCCGCGAATTCCATCCGATCCGCTTTCCAGTTGTCAGACAATGTGCTTTCTCTCAGCTCTAGGGGGGTTGGCAATGTGATCACTGATTGCTCCTCAATGGCGAGCGGGGTTTAGCACCGCTGTACCTCTGCACCATGTCTTGTGCCTGGGTCTCCCAGCCGCGTCAAAGGTAACAAAACACACCGGCTCTGAACAGTAGCGTTAAATTCACAAGTATGAGGCAAAAAGTACAACTAGCTGTATATCTAAAAACTCAGTCGCCCACTCGATCGATCGCCTGGTCGATCGCATTGACGCAGGTGGGTCCCTCCGCCTCAGATTTCAGCTACCATCACACCATTGAGATGAGTATGATGGCGCAATAATTCGAAAGGTTGAAAAATGGGGAAAGAATATTCGCATGGACCAGAAGATCGCGGAATTCTTCCGTCAATATATGAAAAGCAACGAGCCAACATGAGCTGAAACTTGAATTTCCAAACACAGTGGGGAATTTTGCTTGGTATCCGATGATGGTGTAGTGGGACTGAAATAGAAGCAATGGTTTGTTGGATACCCTAGCAGTATCTTGAAGTTCGTGTTATGACACCACCGGACCGACGAGAAAAACACGTTGAATCGACGTAGTGCAAACTAGCAGATGGTGATTAAGCTGGGACACCGGACACATACAAAGACTAGATCATAACAAGTTGAGGACAGGAGTGAAGCATAGCAGGATCAGTGTTGAGACCACCGGGAGCGTGAAGTAACAGTAGGCTACGAACTGGGAGAGTGAAACTGCAGAACAAGTACAAGGTCACTTTCTGTTGAGGAGAATGACACGGACATTATTTCCAGCACTAGCGTATGAACAGTGGAGCGACAAGTTTAAAAGCAAAAAGATTGAAGCACCGGCGCAGCAGTAGATAGGAAAAAAAGACCAGAGAAAAGAATATGGTCCCAGCTGCGGATGGAAGCCATTGTGGATGCAAACGAGGAGCGAATGATTTGCTATCCCGAAACAGCAACAGTCTGTGCAACCATCCCCATCATCGGTTCGGTACGGAAAAAGAACTCACAACCTTTGTGTAGATGTGTCGATTGAGCAGACGCGCAAAACACAATAACCAGGCGACGTAGTAAAATTAGCAGGGTAGGTCCAGTCAGTAGAACACAGTGACCCAAGAGAGAGTAGGCATATGGACCTGACAAGCAAGGACTGAGTTGAACGGAGGTTACACTCAGGACAGATGAACACAGACGGTGACTCGCACAGTCACAGACCAGTTGATAAAGCATGTGCGAGGTCCCCAAGGTAAGTGAACATGAAGTAGTAACAGATAGCCCAGTAAAGCAAGGCCAGGGATCAAGAATGAGGACTAGAAGGAAGACTTATCGCTGATGTCAATGGCGCATCCGCTGTCGCGTATAAAACAATGGCATGATATCTCTATAACTGAAATACGGCCGGAGATATGACCAGCTCACAGATATATACACTGGGATTCGGCCAATGTGTCTGAATCGCCTAAAAAGGAGGCAAGTGGAATGTAAGAAGAACCGAAGCGCATCTTAAGGCAACGTCTGGGTTCACCGTAAGCAAATGGGCACGAGTTACCTAATGCCAGTTCCAAACACGGAGTGGTCTTATCTTCAAGGGTGAGGAAAACCATGCCGAAGCTAACGGGATAACATGAGGATGAACAGAAGTGAGTCCAGATATGCACGATTAAAGAGGAAGTCTGAGGAGTGATGTGTACCAGGTGAAGCGAAAAATAGCAATGCACTGAAGTAACGGGGTTCAAGTTCCAAGCAGGTTCAACGACAATTGTGGGTATAAGCTGGAGAGGAATGTGTTACTCAGACAGCCTACGGAGAAAGAGAGCGGGAAACAGTGGAGCATAATCCACAACCACAGACTCCAAATATGAAGAATAGTCACGAGTGTGAGGAGCAGAAAGGATGCAAGGAAGACCGAAGGGTGAGAGTAAGTAAATTAGTGACCGTACGAAAAGAAGTCAAATTTTCATCCGCTAAGAAGTCAGACAAGTTCGAGGTTGTATCGTGCGCTCTGACGAAGCGGGGTTATGTAGGAAAAGGGACTGAGCTAAAAGTCCAGAGGAGTCTGCGTTGACCAAAAGAACGACTAAATGTATCTGACAGCTAGCCGTGCCAGGAATTTGATGCAGCAAAGAATAAGGGGACTGAGGCTCGACCAATAAAATGATTGGTGCAGCTAGGATTCGTTTCGGTACGTGTCCTACGAAATGGCACGGTGTAGTTGTTTAGCTAGTAAAGACTACCCATTCGTTGACAATCAGCCGGTTCGCAAGTACCAATTAACCACATCAAACGAAGCGCAACGTCTGATTTCAATTAAAAACTGCTAAAATACACATCGTGAGCAATACGTGAGATGGGCACGGACAGGAAAAGGGTGTAAAGGGAGTTCGCGATAGTATAAAGCTATAGAACAAGTGAATTAGTGCAATGTTTAAGGGAGAGATATGAATGGCGTCATAAAATTATGGCATGTAGGCAATTAGAAATCCGCGAGTCATGAAGTAGGACTCAGCATGCAGTTGTGCATGATCCCACCAATGTGAAGGAATTAATTGTTAACAGAACAGACAACAGAAAAAGACACAAAATTGGAAGACCAGTATGTGGAAAGTGTCTCGTCAGGGAAATTTAAATAGCACATATTTTTCAGAGATTAGCGAACAATCTGTTGATGTTATTATTTGGCCGAGTTTCCCAATTGACGCACAAGTTTTGTTAGACCATGATACCAGATAGTGTAGCACACAAAGGGGAAAAGTCAAAAGACAGTTATGCCGCGCACGGGTCAGAACGGACATTCAAGGCCATGCTGATGGTGTCGGTAATTCGAATGGGCTAGACGTAGTCGAGGCTATTTACACATCATGAGTTGGAATAAGCGTAGTCGGAAGCAGCGGAATTTTTAAGAAACCTAATAGCAACCTACCTGAGTTCTGTAAGCACGGCACGGAAGTACGGAGTAAGACGTGTGGTCTAAGAGTAAGTGCGGGACTGAATGCAAGTGATCAGGTGTGGCACCGAAACAGCGTGGCACATAGTCCGTGTCCGTGATTTCTGTGAAACGGAATAGTGTATAAGCTTACAGACATGTCTGAACCAGTGTGTGCGCTTGCAATCTTATGTCGCTTGTTGGCGAGTTAGCATTTAACTTGTTGCCCGGGGTATCTTGCCCAACATAGCGGTCATTTCACCGACATATTTCCTCGCCCGATGTGTTGTGTTAAGGGCGTACCAGGGTGAAATTAGGAATCCGAAGGGACAAGTCTGCTTGGTTCAAAACTACTGCATAAGGACGTCTCACTCTGGGCCGAATAAAAACCGGAAAAAGAAGACTTTACACGAACCTGTCCCATTGAAAAGAGTGAAAGTGCAGAACCATTGAAAAGGACGACCAATGATCCACGAAACTCATCATCATCTCGTTCATAACCGAGGTAGGGGTTCCGTGGTGATCCTTCTGACTCCGCTACAGAAGCATGGTACCATATAGGATCAGCATGTTGGGCGCCAAATGCAACAATCAATACCTCTGAAAAGTCACCCGGATCTTTCGAAACAACCTTGTGGTGCTCTTTAGCTGACTTTTCTTTCAATTTCATCTGGAGTAACCAGCCCACGGAACCACGAGCAGCCTTCCGTAGCGAGGTGAACGTCTGCACAAAGGAGGAGCCAACAATAGAGATACTTGTGTGAAGAATATAGACTAGTGAAGACATGTACATCAAAAGTAACATTGCGGTGCAATCATGATAGGAGTTATGCAAAAGACTGGGATGGTGTGGAGTTGGAAACCACCGATCCCGATGGCCCACGCGTACAGTGATGCTGAACACGACGAATGAGTGGATGAGACGCTAAGGTTGGTTTTCCGAGCGTGGGAAGTAACGGATGCACAGACTCAAAATAGAAGCTAAAATCGCTCCTACATTTGATGGGCCGTTGACAACTGAAACCACGAGTCCTCTAATAAAGTTGAATTTTATTGTGGCACAAGAAACCTGAACGATCAGAACTGATCAGGTCAAAAAATGGACGTTTGAGTCGCACTATTTTAAGTTATAACTATAAATGCCTGGCGAGAATTATTGAAAAGCTATCTTCTCGTAGACGGAGAGCTTTAGTAACCAGTCACTTGTAATAGGATGACAAGTATGCATGTGGCACCATCTCTCACCAGAAGCGCGGGACCAATGATTGCGTTCAGTAATGGCGGCCGTCACGTGTTCATATGCTAAGAAGAAACATGCAGGTGCCGATAATCGAGAGAACAAAGAACGGAGATAGATAAATCAGTTCCCCTGCGTCTAGACTGTGAAATAAGACAAGGAAATTCAAGAGCCGTTTGTCAGTGGTATAATGATGAGATGCACAATGTCAGGCTCATTAGAAGGGATTGAAATCATGCTATAGTGACCCGGAGACACTGCGATTTGACAATGGTTTACCGCCAATTGCACATATGTGTGGATTACATGAACGGGGACGCAACGGTGGAAAGTGAACGTAAAATAATAATAATTTCAAAACATGTCCCGCGTAACCTGGTGGCAAATGGTCGTAAGATGCCCACAAACTCCTCCGCCTAGCATTTACGTGATTGTCCTACGTGCCAACACCCGCGGGACTCGTTCAAAATCATTAATGGACAGAACACTGCCCGTCTACTTCAGCTTGTAGAGGCTGCTGTGATTCGTCGGCTGAAACCCAATTTTGATAAGCAGACTGAGTTTGAGGTCATCGATTAGCTCTATTTAAACAGAACGATGTCACGCATTGTCTTACAGTTGTACGTACAGCATACTGATTCCAATTGTCTGTACACAGCTGATGAGCAGACCCGAAATATCTGAATGCAGGGTATTCTGTTGAAAGATTGTTTCTTCTTGCTAGTTTGAAGTTCGTGAAAGGAAATCCTGTGTGAAATTTCTCAAGAAACGATTCCCTGCTAATATATTTCGCTCGTTAGACAATCTAGTGGATATGCACTGTTGCGCCTCACGTAAGACTGCTCGCAAAAATGTTTATATCGAGTGCCTCCGTCATTTGGTAATCACTACGAAAGGACAAATTGTCGGCGAACCCTCGAACTTAGCGACGTTTAACAAGATCGCACATTGAAGCTTACGCCCAACGCATTGACGAGTTAAATACCAGAATAATATGCTTCAACCAAAACCTGAGTAGCTTGAAACTAGTGTGCCGCGTAAATTTTTTCAACTTCCTTCGGCAGTTAATGATGAAAACAGGGTCACCAGCCAGACAACAATGGAACACCATGTCAACAGAGTGTTTCAGCGACCAGATGCCTACGGAGCCCGAAAAATGCATGTTGAACTTGCGTCTACTTTATTGTCGCCCCCAGCTTGAACCTCCACTGCTGGGTTTCAATTTTCCAGTGTCATCGAATAAATGCGACAGAATAAGCATTAAAGCACAATTTGAACATTTGTGTGAGTAGTTGTCAAGTTCGACACCAGCCACAGAGGACGTATGTGGTTGGTTTAGAGCTAAAGCGGTGTATCTAGCTAACCAATTTCGTATTACTGAGATAGAAAAATGCAAATTTTTGAGAATAGCACTGGAAAGACTTGTAAGAACAGTGCCAAAATGAAACCGTAGTACTACTGAAACCCGACAAGGGATCTGGGGTAGTTGTTCTGGAAAACCAGATTCTGTTCGAAAAATGCAGGCCATTATTGCAATCACTAATTGCTTTGTACGCGATCTAACAGGCCACGATAAGACCGAGCACGTTGAAAAGTACATTACTCGCAAACTTAAAAGTCTACCGAAGGCTGGACTGATTGACTCGAAAACCATGACACAACTCCGGTTTCGCGGAAGTCGACCACCTCATATGTAAGGATGGCTCAAGACAGAAGGATGGAGTTACACTGAGCCCAACAGTCTCAAGGTTGAGTGCACTGTACCAAAAGTTGGCACGATGGATAGCCCAGCTTATCGAACCTATCCGATGTGAGCTGACCGGCTATACTCTCAAGGATACCTTTGCATCTGTCGACAAGGTACGTGATTTAAATGTAGACGGAAACATGCGGTTTCATTTGATGTTTGTTCGATGTTCATCAACGTTGCTTTAGAAGAGACTCTCGACATCACTGCTACTCACGTTGCCAAAGTAAGGTTTCCGACGAATCGTCTCAAGTCGCTAATCCGCCTGTGCACGAAAGACATTCAGTACCAATTCAATGGAACCAGAAACCGACAGATAGATGGTGTGGCAATCGGCAGCCCACTTGGGCCAGTCTTAGCTGATATCTGGGTGGGTCACTTACAAAACACCAAACTTCGCCCTTGTGTATACAATGTGCATTTGTACAACAGACACCAAGCTGATACATTCGTTGTAGTCGATAACGCTCATCAGGAAATATATTTACTTGATGCGCTGAACCAGTGTCATCGTTCCATCAAAACGAAACAGCTACTGTTGTGTCTGACACTGCTAGAGTGAAGTGTAGCCCAATCCCCAGCAATGAAGAACGATCAGGGCGAGTACACGAAAAAACGGAGCTTATTCTGTGAACAGAACGTGAACCAACGCAGGTGAAGTATTCACACTACACAGCCTGCACTAGCCGAATGCGCGTTCGATCCTGAGTCTTGATTCAAACCAACACTGGTCTGCAGATCGATATCTTTGGTGCGTTAGACATCAACCGGGTCGACCTTGGGTTCAGCTCGTTTTTGGTTTTTGGGGCAGCTGGTTAAGTGAACGCAGTCCACATGCTCCGCTGAGTTGCGCCGGCGAAAAACTGTACACTGCTAGAATCTTCCCCCTTAGGTTGTTCCATGTAGGACCTCCGTCTTGGATCAATCTGTAACGGAGTTACTGGCTTACGAGTATGGATGGATTTGAACCTTTGCTGGAGCATGTTATCTGTCGTCTTGGGTAGATTACATTCTGTTCCGGCTTCAGTAGGCCTTTCCATTTCGAACGACTCCAATAGAAGACCAAGACTAAGAGATCCATCGCCGTTCTGTGGATCACGACAAAACGTTCGACGGAGTTGGTTAACGTGGCGCCTTCACAATTTGTACCGCCGGATGCATTTCTTGTCGTAGTATTAGCCTCACGATATCTTGGCGAACCCAGTTTCTTCCAGATACTTTTTGACACGATTGTTATATCGGACGCCATGTCCAATTGCAAAAGAACCGTTCTTCTGTTTATTCTCGCAGTCACGTATTTGCGGTGGCGTTTAAAATTAGGATCAGTTGTTGCAAGCACGGCGTTGAATTTGGGCTCGGTCCTATGTGAGCGACTGACCGATCGACGTCTTTGGCTAGGTGTCCGGACACCTTTAATTGTTCGGCATTGAGTTTCTTTGTGGTCGCTTCGGTTGCATACTGAGAATCTGTGCTATTTAGAGGGGCAGAACTTTTCGAATTGTCATTCGCCCCACTGCCAGCACGCGGATGGTCGTTTCGCTAAGACAGGTGCTACCGTTACGGCGGGTTGTCTTAAGCATGGCTTTGTGACATTGAAAGTGGTGTTAGATGATGAACGCTCCAACATGGCTGTATCGTGCTGCAGGTTTACCAAATGATTGTACGGGTCTGAAGATGAATCATCGAAAACAATTGTTTACCTTCGGTCTTTTGTTCTCGAAAATGTTGACACGTGTTATCTGCTGTAGCGTAATACCTGGGGACAGTTCAATCTTGCTCAATAATCTGGTCCTGACATCATTGTCGGAGTAGGACTGGAGACCGCAAATGAAAAGCAGACAGTTGAACTGAGCTTTTGTCATAGTAGACAGTGTGAACTGTTCGCATTCGAAATTGACTCTACCAGCACATGTGATGAAATCTTCACCCTCCTGTTTGGCAAGTTTCATGCATTGGTATCGGGTATTAAACACGGAAAAAGGTTCACCGACAATTTCCGATAGCTGGCGTACGGTTTCGTCAAAAGTGAGATCTCTAGCGTTCTTTGGCACGATAAAATTTGAATATCGTGTGTGCTCAGTTGTACCAAGCTTCCTCAGTAACAGTCCGACTCGCCATGCATCGTCTTTGTGTTTCAGTTCGATTTTGCAAATGTCCTCATATCGTTCAAACCACGAAACAAAAATCAGCACAGCATCAAGTTCATAGTGGAACTCCGTGATGCTATTTGCAATCGTTTCGGGGCTGTATTTGCTTCCGGGACTTCCGGAACTGATGATTTAATGCTGAATTGCCGCATCAAAGTTTCAATTATTCGCATCTGGGCCGCCTTGAACTGAGTTGGCTGTTAGTGCAGGACTGCATTTAATTCTTCTGCAGCTATCGACATGTTGCATGAGTTGCCAAGACCAAATCATTTGTGTCCGACACTGCTAGGGTAAAGTGTAGCCCAATCCCCAGCAATGAAGAACGATCAGGGCGAGTACACGAAAAAAAACGGAGTTTATTCTGTGAACAGAACGTGAACCAACGCGGGTGAAGTATTCACACTACACAGCCTACACTAGCCGGATGCGTGTTCCATCCTGAGTCCTGATTCAAACCAACACTGGCCATCATCATCATTCATCATTATACACTTTAGCTAGAGGTGTAAAAAAACTTCAGCGACTGTGTCGTAATACATAAAAGAAAAAAGAAAATAAGTTCAACAGTTGCATGCCAGCTGAGCTACCAGCAA